TTTTTCATGTGCAGAGGTGTTTTTTCTGTTCTCAAACTGATCTCCCTGTTGGAGCTCAGTCTGGGAGGAGTTATTTTCCTCCTTATCTTTCCTCATGTGGTGCATTTCCCATTGTTATACCTCTCTGACCTGTCTTCCCCATGTGATGTTTGTGTAATGTATCTATGGTAGGAGCGTAAGATGGCGCCGCCATTGCGTGCAGTAGGTCGGCAGCCTTATGAAATTTCCCCTTGTGGGACTAATAAAGGTATATCAAAAAAAATCAAACAGCAGGAAAGAGAAAGCCTCGTGATGTTTCGGAACCGCTGAACATTGCTCGAGTTCTCCATCAGCTGCTGTATCTCAAGGCAGCGCCACACTGCCACACCTCCTCAGCGATAAGCTCCTCCCTCGTTTCTGACCGTCAGCTGACGACTTTCAGACTCAGCAGTGAGAGAACTTCCTGTGTAGATGCCATTACACCTGAAAACCTCCTGAGGCAGAGACAGTCACATCAAATGCTGCTTCACTTCCTGGAAACATCTCCTCTCCTGACCCAGGCTTAACGACAGAAATCACACAAACGCTCTGAGAGATCCCAGCAGGAATCCCGAGATGTGGAAGTACAGTGACATCACCTCAAACAGGAAGCATCACTCCACTTCCTGTCTGAGCTTCGCCGCCTCATCCCTGATACTCTCCAACTTTTCCTTCACAGCTTCTCTCAGATGCGCCGTGGCATCATCACAGAGTGCTGTGTTTGATAAGCAGCGTCTCAGCTTCCCGCGCCGCAGATACGCCTTTGAAAAGCTCCCAGGAGTCAATGCGTGTTTGATCTGGGGTCAGCTTCCTCTCGCTGTGTGACTGCGGCGCTGGACTCTGTGGCTCGTGTTCACCTTCCTCTTTGTGTTTTTTGGTTCACACTTTTATTTTGTAGGATTGGAGATGGTGTGTCCGCTTTGGTGAGCTTCCAGTCGCTCTGTATCTGTAGCGTCCTGCTCCGTGGTTGTCCCTCTTGTCTCTGCCTCCCTGACCTCCTGACCTCACACAGTCAGTCGTACCCGTCGGTCTTCCGGCGTCTGTTGATGCTCTGTCCTTCCTTTGTGGATTTAAAAATAAAAGCCTTGTGTTTGGTTTGTGTCTGTTGTCATGTCTCGTGTGTCTGTGCTGTTACTGAGCACGCTCACATTTACCTGCAGCTTGTCGAGTCCTTGCTGTGTGTACGACCCTGCAGGTCACGTGACCAGCTTTCCGTTTTCTGTTTCAGGCCGTCGTCTTCGCCCCAGTTGATATGTGGGTGCTCAGAGCTGCAGCCGCCACGCTGGCGCTGAGCTGTTGCGTCCTCCACGGTATCATCACTCCACCCTGCGCAGGTCAAGGTAGGGCACATAATCACACCTCCTCCTGCTGTGCACCAATCACTCTGTAGACTGCTGCTTCAAGGCTCAGCCATTGATCAGAGGCTACAAACGTGTGCATTCATTTGTCACGATGCACACGAGCAAAATCAAATATTGCAACCCCAACGCCGCATGCTAGCTGTCGTCACATGTTTCATGCTAACGTGGAAACACGGTGTGCTCCACACTCACAGTTTCTTCTCTCTGAGTTAAAATGATCTTCACACTTACAGACGTTGGCGTGAGATCGGAGGTATGGTATTCTAATTACATCAGTAGATACAGCAGTAATGAGATTACTTTACTCCGTGATAGGGCTTTGGAGTTGACGTCACGCCGCAATGCATTGTGGGAGCCAGCTCCATTTTCGGGGTCTACGAATCAAAACAAACACTGTGTTGGAACGACGACGACAAGAAACACGCTTAAAAGCAGCTCAAAAGAAAACGGACGGTATAGAGACCGATTGCGTCCAGAGGCGAAGCAGCGGTACTTGAAAAAAAATAGAGTGCATCGCAAATCTGGACCCATATGAAATACGGCAGTGGAGTAAAGACCCAGATGACTTACCGCCACTGTCCTACCCCGATATCTTCACGTATCTTGTTTGTGGAGTAAGTGCTTACACAGCGAACCAGTTTCGTAATTACAAGTCACTGGAGGCGCACATCCAATTTACAAATGGCTGGGTGCAAGATTTGGCTATTTTCAAGCCGCCAAACTGTGAGTACGTCGTCAAAGGAAGTCAGCTGGAGTGCACCGAGTGAAATAGCCATTTTCCACCCCCCACCATAATTAATGTTACACATTTATCATTGAACTGCTAAAATATCGTTATCATATTATATGCCCATAATTGTAAAGTACATGCCAATTTACACATTGATAATCGGGTAAATTATTAACGCCAATTTGTGTCCTTCCTGTCTCATTTCATTTATTGTCTTTACATCAACCAATCAAGTCACTCCATTCTATGTTTGATCGCAATTTCTATAACTTCCGAGACCACCAACGATGATATTATTCAGCTATAAAGTGTGATGTGAACATATTTAGAACTTACCGGAATGAAAATGTGGTGAGCACACCAGCTGATATCTGGAGACGTAACAGAACTTGATATCAGCTCGTCTCACGGCTGCTATCCAGGCTGGACGCCTTCGTTTGGTAATATCCGATACATGAGCTCCTTCATGTTGCTTCCAGGTTGGGAAAGCATAAAAAGACAATCCAAACTTATTCCCGTGCCGGTCGTAAGATCGAACATTGCAGCCGACCACACAGCAAGTACGAACCATGGCTATGCTTTCGCTCCTTACTTAGACCCCCAAAATGGCGGATCGGGCCAAAATCCTTTCCACGCCCACCCCCGTGACATCACGCTCCAAAGCCCTATAGCGGCACGGTGCGACAGCCGAGGGCAACATTCGAACGCTCAAATTAAACCGGACACTCTGAGGAAACAGCGGGCTCCTAAAGGCAGCGTGACCTCATGACCTTTCTGTGGGCACACACGCCACAGGTCAGGGCCTTCGCACCGCCTCCACCACTACAGCCTCCATCAGGGACTCTGATTGGATGGCTAACGAGAGCCACAGGTGTGCCCCTGACCAATCAGACAGCAGCAGACCAGTGAGAAAGGAAGCTTCAATCAGCACACACACACAAACCTCTGTCACGGCTGGATCCTCACTGAGCACGCTCCGAAGCGCTCGGCGGCTCATTGTTCCTACTAATCCGGGCTCTCCCAGCTGTCAGCCGGAGCCCCCTCACTGCTGTCCGACCCGTCTCACATAACTCCCAGCTGCTGCTACAGTTATGAGAGGCGCGCTCAGTGTTCCCGGCAGCTCCGTGGCTGCGTGGCAGTCCCAAAATGGCATCTAGATAAAAAACACTTTGAGGGTAAAGATAACGAAGACGAAGAAGAAGATGATAACGGGATGAGGATGATGACGATGATGAGGGGGATGGGGGCACAGTCAGAGAAAAACATGGAATAAATAACAACAATGAACACTGACAAATTAAAGCAGAGGTCAGGGACTCCACCTGACTCTACTTGCCACACCTCAACACATGATTGCATCCCCTCAGTCTCTCTGCTGATTGGCTGTGTTTGGTCAGCCAATCAGGCCAGGTTTCTGGCTCTTTCAGCTGCTTTTGTAGTTTTATAATTTTCTTTGTTTCAGGTAATGAACGTCAGTTTGCTGCTTCTGTCTGTTTGTATCTGATTAAAGGGGCACTGTGATATCATCATCACATGATGTCACAGTGACATCATCATCACAAACGAAGAGCTCTGCTGCTCTATGTTAAACGTCTGTGCAGGTGTGACTGATGTAACCTGTTTTTCACCCTGCAGAAACTGACTGCAACTGCAGCATCGCCAACAGCCATTGTGACGAGTTCAGAGTCTGCAGGTGACACTCCATCAATCAATTGATCGATCAATCAATCGTCCATCACTGCCCGATCAATGTCCCGGCTGCCTGTCAGCTCGTGGCTTGTTCAGGAGGACTTTAAACAGGTGTAACTCACCTGATCTGTGTTTCTGTCACAGATCTATTTTACTAACTTTCCACCTAATGTCTCCTTGCTTCCTTCCCATTTCCAGGTGTGACCCTGGCTGGGACGGCGAACTGTGCGACCGCTGCATGCCGATGCCCGGCTGCGTGCACGGTTCCTGCGAGCAGCCCTGGCAGTGCACCTGTGAGCCAGGCTGGGGAGGGCGCTTCTGCGACAAAGGTCAGAGGTCACCTGTGCATTAACGTCTGCCATCTTTCTTTTGCCATCTTTCCGTCAGTGCGTCTGAGTTCACCTGTCTCCTGCTGTCTGTCAGACCTGAACGTGTGCTCGCAGCAGCAGCCGTGTCAGAACGGAGCCACCTGTGTGATTCAGGACAGCGGCGACTTCACCTGTCTGTGCCCTCAAGGTTTCCACGGCAACAGCTGCCAGCAGAGGACCGGCCCGTGTCACCAGAGGAGGTGTGAGCTCCTCTTATGGTTCAGAGGACACACACTAACACACTCAGACGTTACCGATCAAACAACAAAGTGTTTCCTGTTTTTCCTGGAATGTTTTCAGCTGAATTTATTTTTAATAATTAGCAGAATAATTATGCTGATTAATGAGCTTAGTAATTGTCACATGACTTTTCAGCAGCAGTAAAAATAAACGACTTCAGTACATTTGACAGATTTTACTACAGTAAAGGAGAAGAGCACGTCTGTGAGGGAAGTAGCTTCAGGCCCACACACTGTTGTTGACCTGCAGACCGTAAACTGTAGAACAGATGGGCGTGGCCACTGTGACATCATTGATTTGAGCGTTTCAGTTAGCACTTTGGATGAGAGGGCGGAGCATCACATGGACACAGATTTCTGCTAATCAGTGCTCCATCCAAATAAAATCCTGAAATTGGAGCTCCGCCTTCTGGATGCTCTGTTAGTACACTAACCTCACAGCAGCCATATGATTGGCCTGATGATGTCATTAAAAGTGCTCCAACAGTACACGGTCATGAGGTCCAGTTTAGGGACAGCTGCCTGTGTCACCGTCCACCTGTCTATCAACTAGGCCACACCCCTAATGATCCAAACTTTAAGCCTCAAAACAATGTGGGTGTTACATTTGTCTCTGACCGCTGACATGCAATCCAGATAAACTGTCAGAGTCTTCTCCCGTATATAAAACTGTGTCATCTGCATATCCTGACACTCTTCTTCTGCTCTCGTCTACTTCCTCCTCTCTTTATTCTGTAACAAAAGTTTAATACAGGTGTTATGGAGGGGATGTTATCTACAGAGCCCAGAACAGTTTGTGTATCAGGCTGTAAACACGTTAATTTCTGCTGTAAAGTTTTAACATGGGAGTCTGACTCACTGCTGCCTCTGCTGGACAGTAGAGGAACTGCAGGTTCTGGTACTTCCTGTTTATGAACCAGGCATTGATGTTTGCTGCAGTCTGCTGGTTTTCTTATCTTCCTCTTCTCTACCTGCAGGTCTCCGTGTAAAAATGGCGGTCTCTGTGAGGACGCTGACGGTTTCGCACCAGAGCTGACGTGTCGCTGCCTGGCCGGCTTCACGGGGCCACGCTGTGAGACTGACGTTGATGACTGTCTGATGAAGCCATGTGCCAATGGCGCCACCTGTGTTGATGGGTTCAACCGCTTCTTGTGCGTCTGCCCTGTGGGATTCAGCGGGCGCTTCTGCACCGTCAACCTGGACGACTGCGCCAGTCAGCCGTGCCTGAACGGGGGCCGCTGCCTCGACCGCGCCGGCGGCTTCCACTGCGTCTGCCGGCCTGGCTTCACTGGAGACATCTGTGAGACACCAACTAGCAGTGACGCCGGCAAACCCGGCTGGACAACGGTTGGGTGGGAGGGAGGAGGACGTAGAGGGAGGAGCCAGAGAATCACAACTAGCAGTGGCGATGGTAGGAACAGCAGCCGTCACGGTGACAGACTGCTGAAAGTGACTGTGAGCGAGCGCAGTGGCGCCGGTCTGTCAGAGGTGCAGCTCATCATCGTGCTGGTGCTGGCAGGGGTGACGCTCACCATGGTGGTGCTGACCACCGCCCTTGTTCTGCAGGGTCACTGCAGGAACTGTGGACACACCTCCTGCTGGTCCTCTGTGACATCATCGTCTTCACAGAGAGGACAGAAAAGCCGCCAGCGAGCATGGCCGGACGAGGAGGAGGGACAAATCAGGTTTCTGAGCGCAGCAGAACCAGAAAAGAAGAAACTCAACACGGAGGTCATTTAGACTGACCGGAGGGGACCGGGACACAGCTCCACCTGCCTCAGGTTCAGCTCCCAGCGAGCGCCTGAACTATGACATCATCCATGTTGTCACAGGACGACTGAATGGACAGTTTAAACCCCACCTATATTACCCAGGGTGCACCTCTGCAGTCAGCTCAGAGGGGCTTGTCCCAGGGGCATGTGGAGGCTTTTATTTTGAAAAGGTCAATTGAAACTGAAGCTTTATTTTATAAATCAATAATTTATCAACTCATTTCTTATAATCACTTGGAAAATAAAATCGTGCTAACTGTGAGTAGATTGACCTTTAAAAGAATCCGACTGACATCATCAGCCCACACTCGGCCACGCCGAGCGACACAAGACAAAAGTCCAGAATTTAAATGTGGATGAAAATCAGATGGAGTTCTGACTGAGGCTTCCAGAAGTTTTCAGGTGGAGATCTGTGCTGCTTGGCTCCGCCTCTTTATTCTCAGACTGAGCAGCTTTGCATGATTCACAGTTCAGAATAATCCTCCTGTTTTAGCTTTCTTTGATTGGCCAGCTTTTAGAAAGCTGCAGCTTTCTGCCCAACATGAACTGCTAAATGAAAGTTTGGCGTCGTCGTGGGTTACTGAGTGAAGCCTGATGGGACGTGACCACAGTCTGATCTTTGAGATGAAATCTACTCACATCAAAGTGAAGTGTGAATATGTTACGACTGTATTTGTATATAACATGTTTATTTATTGTATGGTGTACATGCACGTGTGCTCCGCCCACACACACACAGCTGTCAGACCTCATCACGTTACAGGGACAAAAACGCAGATGGAAACTTCTGATGTCACTGAACAGATCCCCACACAGACATTAAAGCTGTTTCTGAACTTTACCGCTCGCCTCCTGGGTTCTTTCATGTCTGAACACTTGATGCAGCAGTCTGACTCTCCACCAGGAGGCGTCTGAGCCTGCAGGAGTCCTGATCCAAGATCCCCGAGTCAGTCTGGATCACGTGCCGGACTGAACCGTTGACCTGCAGGTAGGAGTCAGCGGCCTGGATCTGTAGCCACTGACGTGTCTTCAGGTTTAATGCTGTCTTTTCAGGCTTTTCTTAGGCAGTCATGTTGCCATGGTAACACAGGAAGGTCATTACAGTGAAGTAAAATTAAAAACCAGGGGTGGTAAAAACCATTACCATTAGAAAAAAGGAAAAACTCTTACATCCATCCATTACTGTCCACAGCCCTTCGCTACCTGCAATAGGCTCCACATGGGTGGAGCCTATTGCAGGTAGCAAAGGTATCGAAGGGCGGGAGGCGGGTACGGGTTAACACAGAGAGACAGACAACCATTCACATTTATGTCCAATTTAGAATCATGGTTAAAATAAGCCCACTGGTTGCATGTGTTTGGGAGGAGAAGCACCCACCTACTCCACACAGAAAACAGAGATGGTGGAGTCGAGGTCTTCTTGCTGTGAGGCAACAGTGCTAACCACCTCGCCACTGTGCGGCCCTAACCTCCGTAATGACAGTCGTCACGTCCTGTTGCTGCTCTATGGCGTCTGCAGGTCTGAGCGAACCTTCACAAAGTGTTTGAGCATCTTTATCCTTCGACTGATAAAACTGAGACCAGCCAGGAAACTTACCAACACTCAGACAAAGATAAAGACTCAACAAGACCTCCTGCAGAACCACACCATACTCTCACACATTACAGTTGTTGTCACATTTATTAAATAATCATGTGACTGCATCTGATTAAAATATTTGAAACTAACTGCAAGGTTTCATCAGTTCGTGTCTATGACTTTTGAAAACGCTCTTCCTCCTTCCATCTTTCGTCACCTGTGAAATTGAATTCATCAAACAGTGAAGTTTTGCGCTTTCTGGCACAGATTCACTTTGTGTGTTTACTGATATTTGAAAATTTTAATTTAAATGATCCAAAACTTTAAAGCAGTAGCTCTGTTTGTCAAGACTGGTAACGGGACTGTAGCTTTTTTGCCGTGTGCGTTGAACTCCGGGGATGAGGCAAAGGGATGTGAAGAGCGTGGAGGCGGGACCACGAGGTTGATTTCAGTGCCGGATTTGTTCAGCGAGTTTCCTCACAGCATCAACAGGAAGCGTCACTGGGCTGACGAAAGACCGACTCACTTTCTGTTTTACGGATGAAACCGCTCGTCCCACTGGCCCGCTCGCTAAACGGAGATCGGTTTAAGGGCCACCTTTAAACGCCAAACATGGGAGCAAGTTTCAGACAAACTTGTTCACTGTGTTTAAGTGTGTGCTGGCAGCAAATGACCAATCAGAGTCTTTGTTTTTAAGAAGCTGTAAACAGTTTTATTATTGTGACATCAGAACCAATCAACAGAGCCAAAGGTACATTCATTAGAAGCAGAACAAACACCTGTGTGGAGGTCACGTGACGTGTTTGAGTTCTCTGCTCGTCTGTGTTCAGGTGCTACATCGAACCATGCGGGGCGTGTGATTGGGTGCAAGCCATCAGGTGATCTGACAACCACAGAAGTGCAGTGCAGAAGAAAAAAAAACCATTCAAACCGAAAAAAGTGACGGCAGCATGACTGGAAATGGGTATGTTTGTGGGAGGGGTCACATCTCAGTCTCAGCCAATAAGCTCTCACCTAGACCTGACGTCAGTAAAACCGCCTGGGTGCTGGAGTCTGTGGGGTCAAAGAATAAGACATTGAGAACTTCACGCCATAGTTCAGCACGGTTTCTCTAACCAGGACCAGCAGCTCACACCACGGCCTCCGTGCCCTTTCCAGATCACACGTTTAGATTGATTTACTTCCACTGGATCAATAAAAGTCGGTTCAAAGACTCCAGGAATAAGCACAATTTGGTGGAAGTCCATTAATTCCTCTGTTTATACTGAACTGAGCTACAGGGCAACAATGAACTGTTCCTTTAAGAAAACCAACCTAAAATCTGATGTAGAAAAGGTTTAAATATGTACGATCAATCATTTGAAGCCTCGGTCACAGCGGCAGTAAGATCAATCAGTTTGTCTCAACATTTGAGAGAAAAAGACAAAAACACCTCGTTCATCTAACGACACAGTGTAGAGCGGGGGTGTCCAATTCCAGGCTTCGAGGGCCAGTGTCCTGCAGGATTTAGACGTCACCCTGATGACTTCATTACCAGGCCTCTGGAGAACTACAAGACATGTTGAGGAGGTCATTTTGCCATTTAAATAGGCTGACACGTCTAAAACCTGCAGGACACTGGCCCTCGAGGCCTGGAGTTGGACACCCCTGGTGTACAGAGGCTGTTAGATTAGGTTTGTGTGCAGATTTTCTCTCCGTTTGCCAAATTTGTGGCACATTCAAATAAAATGAAGCTGCTGAACTTGCTGAGAAGCTGAAATCACACTCAGTCTTAAATTCAACTTCATCGCTGGTATGCAGTGGTTTTCAAACTTAATGACACTGTATGAAATAAAAAGCAAAGAGTCTGCACTGTCTTTTTAAATTTGTTGCTCAGTAGTTACTGCAGCTTTTAAGAATAATTTATCTGGTCTTGACCTGACCTGAGATCAGGACAAGCTCACACTGCTGTTATGGATCACAGAGGAACCACAAAAGAACAGAAAATCTTAAAAGGGATATTAATTAATATTGATTAAATATCCATTATTGTAAAACCAAGTGGGACTAGATATGTAGCAGGTTACCCAGATTAACACTTTGTCCACAGTTATACAAAATACAAACCTCCTACTGTCACCAAGGACACCTAAACACCACACAAAGGACGGCACCAGGTCTATACTCAGTATAGTGGGACAAAACCAGATCTATACCTGGCTAATTGGGACACTGGTTGATAGTGGGTAATGTTGGATAGAACCAAGTCTGTAGAGGGTATTGTGGGACACAACCAAATCTAAACTGGATAAAGTGGGCAAAACCAGGTCTATAGAGATGAATTTTCAACAGAATCAAGTCTATACTCAATGGGACAGAATCAGGTTTATATTTTTAAAATGAAAAAACACACAAACAGTGTAAAGTGACACAAAACTAGTTCTATATTGGGTCATGTAGGAAGAAAATGGTCTTGGTAAAGTAAATTATTGAGTAAAGTACAAAAGAGCCAAGTCTACACTGAATGAACTAGAACCAGGTCCATACAAGGTAAAGTGAGACAAAACAGATCTACAAAGTGGAAAAAACAGGTTCAAATTGAGTAAAGTGGGACAGAACCAGGTTTATTTTTGGTAAATAATGAAAGAACCAGGTCTATAGTGTGTTGAGTAGCACATAGTCATGTCTGTATAAGCTAAAGTGGGAGAATTGGCTCTGTACTGAGTAAAGTAAACCTTTGACTATAGTGGATAAACTGCGACAGAACCAGATTTACATTTCGTAAAGTAGGAAAGAACCGTGTTTATAGAGATTAAAGTTTCCAATTACTGGTTCTGTACAGATTACAGTAACAGAGAATCAGGTGTTTTTTGGGGAAAGTGGAACAGAACTGGGTTTCTAGTGGGTAAAGTGGGACAGAATCAGATCTATACAAGGCAAAGTGGGATAGAAAAGGATATATAATAGATTAAAGTGGAAAAGAGAAGTCTATAGTAGGGGAAGGGGGCAATATTGCTCTTGCCAGTAAAATAACCTGGCAAACAATCCCAGTTTGCTGGGTCTGTATTGGTTTTGTGCAGTTTGAGGGAGAGACAGTCTGAGCAGGGACACTCTGTAACTGAGGACAAGGTGAATATTCAGCCCTTACTGCTGTGGGGTAGCCAGGCGGGAAGCTGGTACTTGTCTCTGATTGGGTGATACTTGTCTCTGATTTGCTTGAAAGCAGTGATGGAGGCAGGATCTGGCACCAGAGGCAAGGCCTCTCTGTCATCGTCATCCTCCCCCTCAGACAGCAGGTCACAGATCTGCTGCTGGAGCTCCGGACTAATGTCGTTCTCAGCCAGAACCAGGACCCGCAGGCTGGTCGGGTAGTTCTCCACCATGTCCAGGAATACCTGCACACAGGTGAGACCACCACATTATAAATCTCTTAGGAAGTGCAGCATGGCTTCAAAATAAAACTGTACAAAATGTTTAACGTGACAGGGAGGACAGTGAACCTGACCCCACTCGGTCGTGACTGCAGCTTTTCAGTTTAAAACCATCTTTACAGTCAGGTGTGCTCCTTTATGTTTACAGTACTGGGATGCACCAATCGCATGTGCATGCCTCTTATCCACATGTGTGGCTGAGTTGTTGTTGGACCACACAGCCAGTTTACATACATCAGTGAGAAATGCAGTTTAGCGAGGACTGAGTATTAATTACATTCTCCTGGATTTTACTCCCTGACCTTGACAAAAACAAACAAACAAAAACATTCAGAGCATTTTGAAGCTCAAGAAAGAACAGGTGATCTACCTCCACCTCCAACCACTTCAGAGCTTCTAGATGTTCACTGTGTTTTTATTTATGTTATTGTCTCTGTTTATCCAGCAGTTTCACAGGCCACACACTCAGGCATTTATTGTGAAAGTAGTTGAAACAGGAAACACAGCCCTAACAAGGCCACAATGCTGCCATATCACTTCCCCCTGGTGGACAAACAAGTGAACTGAAAACTGAGTCCAAACTCAGGGTCTGGGAACAGTTTTTTGCAGGGACACAGCGCCACCACCAGGTCAGACTAAACATCACTGCAGGATGGTGGCTTTGTTCTCAGAGCGGAGGAGAAACCCTGACGGTGTGAATAAAACCAGACTGAATGATTTCCAGCAGACGCTCATCTCTTCTCTTACAACTGCATTCTAGTTGTATTTAAAGAGCTGCTCTCTGCTGATGAGAACTGGAGAAAAAGAAGAGAATGAAGCACTGTGATTGGTCGACCTGTCCTGACTGGTTGG